TCAAAGTGGCTAGCTCCTGAAGAATGGCACTTGATGTTGTCCTCTGACCTGCACACATGTGATTGTATGCACGTAGACAGGCACGTCCGAAAGGAAAGCTCAAAGTGATGTCTGGATGCCAGACAAGAGCAAAGCCAAACTCGGGGGAGGCTTTTGCCTTTTTCCTGGTGTTTTAATGAAAACACCACTAGAGGCAGTTAGCAGGTATACCCGTGGGGTAAATTAGCCTTGTAAGACAGGTGAGACCAGGGCCAGGGAGGAGCTGCTCTGCCCACCAGTGTCTGGCTCTCTGTGAGGCTGCTTGATGGAAAGCTGTGGTGTCCACACCACGAGCAGGCTAGTAGCATAGACTGCGGCAGAGCAGGCTGCATTTCCCAGCTGTCGATAAATCCAAAAAGCAAAAGGCAAACACGTTCACCTTCTCCCACGGTCTTCTTTTTTTCTTGGCTTATTTACCTAGTAATGGGATTCAAGAGGACATTTACATGAACTTTGGAAAACAAATACCCCCATTCTGTCTTTTGTCCTGCTCAATCCCCACCTTGGCTCTGGAGTCTCCTGAAAAAGTAAAATAAAATATTTTTCAAAATCCATGTTTGAACTGCAAGAACCAACTGGTTAATACTTAAGCAAATGTCACCTTTGACAGCACAACTGTGAGGGGAAACTCACCCACTGCAGGCGTTAGTCATGGGTGTCTCCTCTTCACAGGTGGCTGGCTGTGTGGGGCTGGCCTATTGACCCGACTCTTTGCAGTGTGACACACAAAGCAGACCATGAGAATGTGTATTTTGGTTCAAAACAAGTATCAGGGAGTCAGGATGGCTTTCCTTGTGACAAATGTGGATAAAAAGAGCTTCTGGACAAGGTGCCTTGCATTTCCCTGCTGCCTCCCAACTCCACAATGCTCCCTAATACCCTGCCTCTACAGGGTAAAATGGCTGGTATTCCCTGGAAAGGCTGGCCTCCATATTTTCTGTGTCTTCTTATCCATGCAGTGAACATGAAGAACAGTTACCTGCACTCTGCCATGGCACAGGTGTGGGCAGCACAAGCCATCACTCATTGGTTTCCAGTGTTTCACTGGAAAAAGCATGGGCCAGTAATCCAGATGAACAATCTTCAGAGAACATGGCCCTGCTCTGAAGCCACAGTGTTAATGTCCCTGCCTAGTTTGTTTTCTTACATCTTTTTAAATCATGTGCTAGACTGCAAATATCCTAAGTGATGGGTACTCATCTGGTAAACTGACCAAAGGAAGTGGGCATTTTTCCCCTACTCTTGTAACCTTTCTTGTGCCTGGCCCTGAAAGGGACTCTGGGAGCTAACATCTGCCTGGCCAGGTGCCTGCAGCGCCATGGCAGGAGCTGAGTGAAATGCAGAGGAAGGACCTGACCTGGAGCAGGCGCCCCACAGGTGTTCTGAGCCTGGGCTGGGCCCAGAGTGCTCATTGTTTAGAAGTTGGCAGGCTCCCAGGAGTTCCACTGTCAGTTTCTTTCTGAAATGTCAAACATTTCCTTAGCTGGGGATGGATGGTGAGACCGCCCCCCCCCACAAGGCCTGAGCACTTTTAGGAGGGGGAAAACCCACCCCATTGTCTGTCTTTGACACTTGATTCGCTATGGCTCAGGTGGTTCCAGGAGCCATCCTGCAAGCCTAGACCCATTTTCCATGTCAGAAAGACTCTGACATGGGGCTCTGTTCTGCCTCTGTCAAGCTCGCTGTGGTTGCCCCATTTTCCGGTGACTCTTACTGCAAGTTTGTAGGCAAGATAGACCAGGGACCTACTGCTGGCCACAGGGGCAGGTGAAGGTGCAGAGGGAAGCAGGCTGCTGAGAACTGATCCTTGTTAAAGCCCAGGGTTTGTGACAGTCAGTGTTCCTGGTTTCTCTCTCTCTCTCTCTCTCTCTCTCTCTCTCTCTCTGTGTGTGTGTGTGGGGGGGGGTTGTTTAAATTTTTCTACCATAAAAAGTGGAGGGAGAACACAAAGAGAAGATGGAGAAAAGAAAGAAAAGAAATTGTATCCTAGTTCTTCAGCCCCAAAGAGTCTGGGCCTCTGCCTGGTAAGCCCTGTGTTCTGTGGGGTGTCAGACCCCTGAGTGAGCTGCCATGGGAAGGGGTTAAGAGCATACTCTGAGAGCAGACCCATCTGGATTCCCATGCAGCCTTCCAGAACCTCTGCTTCCTTGGATATAGAACAGAGAGGAGAATGACTAATTATGGAGCAGTGAGTCAGGTACTACACCCTTTACACAGTCCCAAACCTGGTGACTAGTGGGGTTCAGCTTCAGTGCCTTTGAAAGATACACTTCCAGGGCATCTCCAGAAAGGTGCTGGAGTTGTGATCTCACTTTGAAACAAGGTTGCTGTGATAAGGTCCCTAAGTTAAGTCTCCTTAGCCCAAAGGATCCCAAAGCTGCAGTTGGCTTTTGCTTATCACTTGTTTCTTCTCACCTAGAAATGACTTCCTTGATCCACCCAATGCTGTGTTTACTTAAGCCTGAAAATGACCTCTCAAAGGGCCTGTGTTTGCCTGAACACGTTTAAAATATAAAAGTATTATTTGTCTTTGCTGTTGAAGTTCCCTTTTCACCTTTGGACAAGCGCCTACTTTATCACATGCTATCAATGTGCCATCTAAGGTGTCAAAAGGGAAGTTCACTTCCTTGTGCGTGCATGCATATGTGTTTGTATGCGTGTGTGTGTGTGTGTGTGTGTGTGTGTGTGTGTGTGCGCGCGCGCGCGCGCGTGTTCTCCTGGCGTGATGCTGAGGTGGCTAACTTGGTTTCTATGATAGACACATCAGCACCTGTTTTACCCCCTCTGCTGAAACTCTGTCCCCTTCAAACCTTTAGAATCCAAGAAGCTGTCGTCCCTGGGTCCCTGTAATTTTTGTTGGTTGGTATGGACCACTTTTGAGTTTCCTATCTGACGCATCTTCCCAGCTTCTTCCTCCCTCTTCACTACTCTTCCTGTGTCTTCCTGTCTCTTCTTGCCCTGCCAGAGACTCGGTCTGCTTCTTCGTTTATTACATTTCTGTGGTGCCTCTGTGTGCCAGCTCTGTGTTGGGTCCTGCAGTTTTGGTGAAGGGGAAGGGGCAGTCCCTTCTGTTCACACCCACCTTCCAGGGAGGGTCAGAGGAGAGCTAGCACCTCAAAAGTGAAGCTACTAAATCCCGCCTAGAGATGTGGAGCTGTACAAAGCACCAATGCCTGCAGGTGACCAAGGAGACCAGCAGGAAGTAACCCCGGTGCTGACAGAGAGCCACCAGGTGAAAGGTTCAGAATGTGTGAAAGCAGAGGGGTGGCATGCTGGAGCAGGGAAGGGGCCGCAGAAACAGTGGAGTCAGGCAGATCATGCGCGGCCTTCTAGGCTACAGGGACCTCAGCTGAGTCAATGGACCTCGGCCGGAATAACTGGAGATCTTTGAGCAAAGAGGCAACCCGATCAAATTCAACGTCCAAAAAGACAGCCCCATCAGCTTTGTGAGGAACTGGCTGAGTCTGGAGCAAGGCGGGTTTAGTCAGGTATTGTAGTACTCCTAATCAGCTGGAGGCCCAAGGCCTGTTCCTGTAGTGCATACAAGGTAAAATCCATGGGTGTTTTTCAGTTCTCTCTCTGTGTTCCTTCCTTCCCATTGCTTATTCCACCATTTTCATCTTCACCATGGCTTGAACATTCAAGACTCATGGCATCTCTACTACTGTCATTGCAGCCTCTGGAGTTAGGGTGCTTGCCACTGGGAGCCTGCCTGAGCTGTAGTGACCAGGCCCCTCTCAGACTTGTCTACTTATTTCCGAAACAACCAGCCCCTCTTCCCAGGTGAACTCCAGGCCTTGGAGTCCCAAGAATGTACCCCATCATGGGCCCTGTCAGCCTGGCCACCGGCATCATGCCCACTGTCGTCTTCTGATACTGCCTGGTGTAACCCTCTTCCCCCAGCCAGGAGCAGAATCTCCATCACAAGCTGCACTCAAAGCAGTGGGACTCCTGCCCACAGGGAGCTCTCAGGCAACCTGGAAGTGCTCCCCAAGACAGAAATGAATGAAAAGATAATGATCTCCTGAGTCCCCAAGATATGATAATGTTAACATACATGTACACACCTCCTTACTACAAACATGTCGAAAAGGTAGCTGAACAATGTACTAGAACCCACCTTGAAATGTCGTGCCAAGCCAAGTTCACAAGGAAGAAAGAATTCCCTAGCTGAAATAAATGAAGACTGAAGGTCAGAATCCAATAACAAACCGGTAGGCAAACTTCTCCAAGGGGACAGATAAATAATATAGGCTTTAGAGGCCACAGACAGCGTGTCATATAGTCCCTCCTTTCACTTTTTTGTTGACTATTTAAAAATGTCCAAGTGGCCTGGGGGCCTAGCTCAGTTGGTAGAGTGCTTGCCTAGTATGTACAAGACCATGGATTACAGTCTCCAACACCACACAAACCACACGTGCACACATCTATAATGCTAGCACTTGGAAGGTGGAGGCAAAAAGATCAGAAGTTCAAAGTTATTCTTGGCTACAAAGTGAATTCAAGATCAGCCTGGGACACATGAGATCTTGCCTTACAAAATAAACTACCCTAACCATTCATAAGTTGCACAAAAATAGACCACAGCCAAAAGTGACTTACTAACATTAGGCATTTTGCTTTATGGGCACTTCAGCAGTGTTAAATTGTGTAACAGAGATGACCGAATCATCTACAGCTACCATGCTTGTCACCTCAGAGGCATTCTAAATCTGGAGCAAGCTCCTTGGTGTGCACAGGAGAGCCAAAGGCTGAGGCCTGGCCCTGGCCCTCCCAGGACCACCGGCACCACTCTCAAGGTGGCAGGGGCTGTTTACAGGCCCCCCCAGAGCCCTGCCTGCTGTGTCCAATGGCCTACAGAGCCAGTGCTATGCCCACTGCCCTTTCCAGGTACTTCTAGAGTTTGATCCTTTGTTCTGGTGTAGCTCATTAAAAGAGACATGTCTGCTTCTCTTTTGCAGGGATGATAATGGTGATTTTATTGCTGCTCGTGGCTATTGTGGTCGTTGCAGTGTGGCCAACCAACTGATATCAATAAAGGGACCACCCGCTGTGACACCTGCCAGTGATGAATGAAAGCCCAGCACCCTTTTGGTATACAACACCTGCTCTCAATAAATTTCCCACCACCCCAGGCTCTCGGTGTCCGTGGCTTCTGTAGAGGAGCAGAGATGAACAGTTCTGGAGATCTTTCTAGAGCTCTGGCCCAGTGTGGCCCTTCTCTTCTTTTGGTGGTTTTGTTGTTAGCCAGAAGTCCCTCAGGTGGTCACTGTCCCACAGCTTCCAGTGGATTCTAGTCACCCTCTGTGTGCTGGGCATCCCGAGGGATACCATGTTCATATGCAGTGTAACTTTGGTGGTTGGTTGCACAGGGGAAGTCATGTACTTGTGTGGGAATAAGGGCAGAAGTGAGGCAAGAGGCACACAGAAGGCATAGCCACGTGGACATATGTCAAGTATAGAACAACCACCCTGTCAGCCTGCCATGTTTAATTGCCCATGAAGCTCAGACTCCTGGTGGTGCCAGCTGTGCTCTCAAGAGTTTCTGTGCTGTCTTCATATCTAGACACGTACCCTTTTTCATTTTGCAGCAATGATAAACTCACCTTTCAATGTCAATGCCTTCCTAAAACAAAATCTGGGTGTGGTGGCTCACACATTTAATCCCATTACTTGGAGGCAGGTGGATCTCTGAGTTTCAGACCAATCCAGGCTTCATAGAAAGAGAGAGACTGCCTCAGAAAATAACAAAAAACAAATTTGACACCTAAGTAGTCACAAAGCCTTAGAGATTGGAGTGAGGAGCAGTCTGATGGAAGCATGGTTAGAAAGCTGGGCATTGCTGCCTCTTCCAGCCTCTCCACTGGCTCTGACATCCAAGTGTGTCCAGAGTGAGGGCATGTACACACAGATTTCAGCGAATGAACCAAGAGTAGAACTGACTCAGAAGATACAGGCCCACAGGTGGGTGAGTTGTGAATCAGAAGGGTGCAGAAGCCCAGGCAACATACCCTCTCTCCTCTCTGTAGGGAAAGCAAGATGGGCAGCTGGCCTTGCTTTTTCATGGTAGGAGGAGGAAAAGTTAAGCTAACGATAGAACTCTTGCTGTAGCATTGGCTTCAGTGAGGAGGAGATAGGCTGTGGTAGGGAACTGTGGGTGGAGAGGTCCTGTGACTTTCCTTGGGAGAACATAACACAAAGCCTTCTCTGAACAGAGTAGGGCACCAGGAAGAGAGCCCTGGTGTCACTGAGAGTGGGGCCCTTTCCTGGTACCCTGAGACCAATGATTCCAAATGTTCTGGGAGGTCTGGGGTCTCCAACTCACTCTACTACTGGGTCTCTGTGGCAAAGGAAAGGGTCTCTAGGAGCTTGTAGGCCAGCAGTCACCTTAAGTCACCTCAAGACCCCATTGCCTGAGCTCCCAGCTCTGCCTGACCAGTATACTTACTGGGCCCTGTTGTATCACCAGAGAATAGGAAGTCATAGGAAACAGAGTAAGAAACATACTGTGAATAGCCCCAAGGTTTTCCACACCACTTACCAGCTCTGTGACCATGGGCAGACTCCCTTTCTATGCCAGTGGCTGGAAAAAGGAGACTATCATGCCCTGCCCTACCCTGCCTCATGGGGCCGCTCTAACCCCAGGTGTCTGGTGGCTCAGGGTCTTGTTGCCTGCTTTCCACTGCACCAGGCAGAGACTTGGCAAATGATGCTTGAGTTCCTGAAATAGACTTAGCAGGATGACAGGGGTCATGGTATGCCAGAAGGTGGCAAATGACTTTGAGGTCATGAAGCAGGCTGTGAAGAACAGACTGAAGGAAAGAAGAGCAGGCTTGTGTCAGGGGCATGTGATGGGGAAGAAAGGGACTGTGCTGTGTGGCAGGCCAAGGCTTTAGGATGCAGTGTGCCCTGGGACACATTTGTCAGGGCAGGGTGGTTGCTAATGGATCATCCAACATAAGAGCAAGAATCCGTAGAGCTCTATCATCCAGTGTTGTGGGAAACCCCAAATCTGTACAAACAGTGTCTCCTCAGAGCCCCCCACTTTGGATCTCAGAGGAGGCAGCATTGATAGTCTATTTGACTTTCTCACCTCCTCTTGACTTGCTCAGCACGAAGCCCCGGCAACTCACAGGGCACATTGAACCAGAGCCATGAAGGCCTGGCTCAGTTGCACTGAAAGCCCCTTTTCAGGAAGACACTGGCCCATGCCTACACACAGTTGCTTCTGTTCTTCTGGCTGAATGGGCATCACTAACAGCATGACCCCAGACAAGTTGCTTCACTCCTGTGTACCCATGGGCAGGGAAAAGTAGAGGGGAAGCTGCCTGGTAGGTCATAGCATAAGGACCCCATGTCCCAGCCATGGGCATTGCTGCAGGCAGGGACTCTCATCCCCTGTCAGTCTCCCTTAGGGACGGCTTTCTCACTCCATCAGACCAGAACTAGCCAGGCATACCCAGCTGGGCTCGGTGTACCAGAGTTTGCTGCCTCAAAACCAACGTAACATGGCTCCTGTAGAGTGGCATTTGCCGGCTTGGTTTGCAAGGCCTGGTTTCCTAGCTTGAAAATGTCAGACCTACCTGCAGACCGGTGACCTGTAGCAAGCTTTTAGACTAAGTCTGTACCACTCCCAGAACACAGAGTGGCAAGGCAGCCAGAGTACCCACTCCTCCGGGGCTTTGTCAATAGAAATAAAGCTTATTAAAATAACAGCATGTGAACTGTTTAACTTAACCGATTATTAATTATATGCATTTTAAGTCTGGATACCATATAAAGAAATCCAGATACCTGGGCACAACCTGTACTTTTGTTCCATTTAAACTTTTTGATTATTAATAATTATACTGAACCTTAGCTGTCATTAGCCCCAGGACAACCTCCTCACCCGATCTGCAATGCCTGGGGGCTTAAGCACAGCATCCAATCCACTAGGCTGACACAGAGCTGACATGGAAACCCCTGTACCCTTTTAGTCTGCTGCCTGCAGCTGTCCACAAGCCTGCTGGGGTTGTGCACCATCTCCTTGAGTTTAGCTCCTTAGGGCTTTCTTACCATGGGGTGGGGGAGGCTTTTGCAGAATTCCCAACTGGTCCTTAGCTTCAAGAGCTGTCCATCCTGCTTGTCAGAACTGCCAGCAGCCAGCCAGATAGCTGTTCACCCAGCTCCCTCAGGTCCTTGTATTAGCAGCTTTTGTGTAGACCTTGCTGAAGTTAAGCAGATACCCTCCCACCACTTACTGTGAAGATAAAACTTAACTCGTTTATTCTCTTATTGTACCAGAGGATTTCTCAAGCTTCCTCCTAGCTACATGCCAACAACTAAAGGCCCGGACCTCCTTCCAGAATGCCTTGCTGTCCCGCCAAGGCTCCGAGTTGATAAAGCAAGGAGTTAAGCCATCCACGTTCGGTATTTCTCTCCCTGGCTGCTGTTCTTGTACTCCCGTTTTTCTTGGCAGAGTTCTTATGTGTCTTTATTTAGTCTGAGACCACAGGGTGTGTCTACCCTGGGTGGGCATCCCCATTCAAGGCACTGTCTCTGGGAGATGCAGAGATGGGATGGGTGAGCCTTGGCGATTTATGGGCCCTCCCCTCCCTGGTAGGTTCCTGTTGTTTGTACCAAACCATTCCCCGGGTACTGCTCAGCTTCCTTGGGAGCTTCCTCCCATCTTCCTCTACTTTTCCCACCACCTTGGGCCAGTGCTTAGTAGAGACCTTGCTTGTATTCTGTTTTCTTAGCACTGGACCGATATCAACACCTCGTCTCCCCAGCCAGGTGGAAGGCCCTAGGAGGCAAACGAGCTGTTCAGTCCATTCTCATGCCTCTGATCAACAGTGTGTTTCCTGCCAGAAGACAGCCCAGCTGTGAGGGGGTCAGAACACACTCAGACACAGACAGCTTTGTGGAGAGAGAAAAAGCTGTATCATAAAAAGTCCTTGAGAACTGAACTCTTGGCTTAAAATGACCAAACTGCCAAGTAGTCACAGAACTCTTAGCCCCAGCCCTGAAAGCCTGACACAGCAGATGAGGCTTGTTCTTCCTCGGCCTGGCCAGCCAACCAGGAACTGCTTTCTGTCCCAAACTGCCCACCACCAGGCATTGACATTCAACAAGGACCCACTTCTGAGATGGACACCATGTATGTTCCCTGCCTGCCCTGGCTTGGAACCCTGCTCCTCAGAGCTAGCTCCAGTGGAGGTTAACCCAACAGTGTCAGCCTCAAGCTGCTTATCTGCTCTACATCAGGGGAAGGCTTTTATGCCCTGAGAGCAAAGGCACCCAAAAATCCACATTGCTGAGGACCTGGACCAGACCAGCAGGTGAGTCTTGTCTTCAAAAATACTAGGTGCAGAAGGGTCATGTCCAAGGGCCATGGCAACATATCCTCCCAGGAGCTGGCTTGTTGTTCAGTAAAGAAATCACACCATTTGGAAGTTTAAACATAGCCTCTCTAAAACCACTGAGCTCAGCTCCTGGTGGCTGCGTGGTGCTGGCACAGACCCAGACCCTGCTCAGCACTAAGCCTCAGCAACAGGCTGGGGGGAAAATCTTTTTGCATGATCTCTTGAGTTTCATCAGTCTCCTAGATTTTCTCATCTCTACTTCATCTTAAATAGAAGAAAGCGATGGTATGAAAGCCCAAAAGGGCTTGCAGGCTCTGAATCTAGAAGGGAGGTCAAAGATACCCTATCCAATGCTGCTGGTGAGGGTAGGGCAAGTCAGGAGAAGCCTCCCTTCCCCAATCTATACTCCTGCCTGGGAGCTCCAGAGAGCGGGAGGAGGATCTGACCCAGTGGTGACTTGGGAATTGCAATACAGACTGTCCCATTTGATAGCCTGTTAGTACAAAACAGCGGTCAGGGCCAGCAAGCCCCCAGAACTTGCTAAGCAAGGCTCCACTTTTCCTGCCTTTTTTGGGTAGTTAGGGTTCTTTGTTTAAAACACACACAAGATTCTGTCTTGCTGGGGTGTTCTAGGGCAAGATGCCATATTCCTTAAGTTGCTGGAAGTCTCCACCCTTCTACCTCCCCACATGCTACCACCATAGCTCAGGCCAACAAGAAAGACTGGGACACAGAACAGTATACAAGAGTTTATTTAATGATATCTGAATTTAGTTCTATCATGTAGGGCCCATGTTACAAGTTCCATCTGGGTCCATTACAACTCTAACAACAACAACAACAAAAAACCTTAAAAAAAAAAAAAAAGAAAATCCACAACTTTCTCCATGTCATTAAATATATTCATATATAATAACCATAATATATTAGTATGCATTGGAAAGGAACACTGACCCAAACAATATGTCATGGTCACAACTAAACATTTACAATTCTGAGTGAGCAGAATCGGTACACAGAGGGAGGCCAGGGGTATCCAGAGCAGGAAAGGAGAAGGTGTCCACTGACACAGGTGAGGCTGGCTGAGTTTTTGGCAGGGGCAAGGCCCCACAAAGACAATTTTGATACCCCTGGGGTATGGCATGGCTCTGGTCCACAGGATGGTCTGTCTGTGAACCATGGCCCATCAGTGAGCCTAACTTGCCCACTCTCTAGGCTTCCTGGATGGAAGAGTCCTTAAAGTGTCAAGACCCTAAAGAAACTGCTTCTCAAGTCAGTCCCAAAGGGTCTCTTTTTTTTCAGTCTTGTTCCAGCTTGGGGCAATTCTAAGATGGTCTGTACTCATTGCCTGTATGTAGCTACTGAGGCAGAGTTCTAGAAAGTTCCTAAAGCCCCTAGGCCACTCCAGCCTCACAGGGCTTTGCCTCCCATCTGAAGGAGCCCGATGGTCCTGCCTCCTGCCCTGCTTTCCAGGACAAGAAGGTCTGACCCAGAGGCCACAGGAGTGTCCAGGAGCACGCCATTTCCTTTACTCCACACCACTGTGTGACTGTGTGTCAACAAAGGAGGCTTTCTGATGGCAGGGGCAGCAGACTACCCAGTTGGGAAGCGAAAAGACAGCTGGGGCATCTTGACTGGTAAGTGACTAACCGGTACGGCTTTCTTCAAAGACCTACATATCACAGCTCTGTTAATACACTCTCAAACTCAAAGACCTACTTCCATTTTTGCATCCCTTCCTAACTGTACAATAGGATGTCTCCTTCCCCCTTTCCATCTCCTCCCTAGGATGGGGCCAAGGACAGGAGGAAGACCGACAGCTGCTTCCCCAAGGCTGGCTCTCAGGCAGAGGAGAGGTGGGATGGATTCAAGCTAGTTACAGAGGTGGCAGCTGTGACCTCATCCATAACCTGGCTCATCTGACCAGGCAATCCGGGGGAGGCAGAGGGAGTGGGCAGGGCAGGATGCCTTGGTGGATTGATGTCTTGTTGCTTAGCTGGCCCTCGGCACTAGTTAAGGGGCTTCGGTGGACGCCAGGCGAGGCTAGGGTTTAAGACTCATAGGTCAAAGCTGGCCAGGGCAGAAGCTACACTGGTACAGAAACAGGACAGGGGCTGCACAGTGTGCTGCTGTTTGCTGAAGCTGGCACCCCAAACCACACTGGCTGTCTGAGCCTGGAGAATGGCCCTTGACCCCCAATCTCAGTCTTGGACCACAGAAGCCACATGACCCTTCCCAGGGTAGGTCTATATGCTCCCTGCCAGCCTCTCTGAAGCCTTACAGTCTTCCTTCCCACACTTGGAGCGGCCAAAGCACCTTTCTAGGCCCTCTCAGATGGCCAACATCTGTCTTCCCTGACCCTGGGACTTCCTGGGGCTGTCCTATAGGGAAACCATTCCTTGTCCCCGATCACTCTTGATGCCTCCTCCTGGAGGTGTTACTTTGTCCCAGACCTACTCCTCAACATTCATTCTCTAGGGACAAGCTGCCTGGGTCTTGGTGAAAACCCCCACCCACTGTGGGAGTGAGTGCCCAGTGGGCTAACAGAGCTGGTGTGCAACTATGGTGAGGCCAGGGTCTGAGTCCCAAAGCTGGTGTGAGCTCTGGCATGTGCACACATTTCTTGACTGGCAAAAATGAGGACCAGAATCCCTGTCTTGCGGGTTTGACAGGCCAGGAGCATATGCATAAAGTGCCTGGCACCAATCGGGTGCTCAGTAAATGGCAGTGGTGGCGTGGGCAGAAGTGGGAGAAGCAGGGGGAGTCATGTCACTAAGGGGCTGAGCTTCATTCCTGGTATGGCCCTTTGGGGCAGCCAAATGGGCAGGGGAAATGAAACCAATTTCCTGACTGAGAGGGAAGCCAGGCCTCTCATCCAGTGTGCGGGGCGTGAGGCTGGAGGCCCAAGTGCAGGGATTCAGGGAAAGGCAAAAGGGGGGCTGTGAAGCAACCACAAGAGAAGCTTGGAGCTGCCTGCCTGCGTGAGGACAGTAAGACTCCAAGAGAAAAAAGGGGTAGGCACACAGGAAGACCTGGCGACTGAAAAAAAGGCAGCCAGAAAGGAATGGATGAGACCGCCCAGGCTAGATCAAGACAGCTATGGGCTACAGTGGACTTATTAACCCAGGAGCCTGTTCCTTCCCTTTGGGAGACAGCAGTGAGGGCAGCAACAATAAGTGGTCACAGCTTCCATGGACCTCTGCAACCTGACCTCTCCTGGCCTTCACTACTCGGGCACCTTGCTAAGCAGCAATCCCCAGACCTTACTTAAGCAAGCCCCTTCCCCCAAGCCTGGGCCAAATGGCCTCTACAGCCCCTGGCATTCCAGGCCTGACCAGGCCCTTTCCAGCTGTTGACATTGCTGTGAGGCCTTGTGGGAGTTGATGTCATTACACAAATAGTGTCATTGCCCTAAACCCTGCCAGTACCCCCTCCCCCTCCCCTGGAAAATGTCATAAAAGGGGCTGTTTCCAAGTTTCCAGAAAGGAAACTCTCTGGGAGGTTTTGGTTTGCAATGCCTCCTCCCACAGGCAGCTCCAGCAAAGGCAGTGACCACCCGGCTTGGGCTTCAGGGGTGGCTTTGGGCCCCAGGCTAGGCCCTCCCCTGGCCCGGGAGCCTGGGCCAGCCCCACTAGGGTAGGGCAGGTCCCAGGAGGGGCCTCCCCTCCCTACAGACGTTGAACTCCACCCAGGAGACCAGCCCAGCAGGTGGCAGTGGAGACCTGAAGCTGGCTGATCTCAGTGCCATCTGGCCCTTTGACATACAGACCTGTTGTCAAAGTCTGGAGTCCAGTGGGAATTCTTAGACAGCAGGTGATGGAGAAACGAAGGGGGCATGACTTGTGGTGGACTGGTTGCCCCTGCCCAGGCTGCAGGCCCGAAAATTCACATTCTCACATCCCCTTCAATAGCCATCAAACACAGTGACTGTGGTCCACTGTGCCATTCTGTGCCCAGGACCCAGAGTTGGGTGCCTCCAGCCCCTCTACAGCGACCCCCACCTTAGCCCTAGGGAAGCGCATCTCTGTTCTGGAAGGAGCGCTGTGAGGTAGCTATGTCTTGTCCTCATTTCTCCAGGGCCTGGCCTGTCACTT